CCCGCGAATAGCAACGTTTTACCGAAGCTAAATTTCTTAATTACAATAATTGAAAGAAAAAGCACGAGTCTTTGTGGCGACTGCTTGATTGAGGATGATCAAGTCGCAATGGACCTGTTAACATCCTGCGTCGCGTCGTAGAAGTGGTTTTTAAGAAAAATGACCCTTATTGAAAACCTTAATCGCTAACGATGTTCGCGATCAAGTTTCCTCGTGCAGAGAAAAGCGAAAACTATCGCTGATCAGCAGATGTGTGAACATTGTTAACAGTTCTTACTGGCGGCCTTTGCTTGAGATATTTTTTGAATTATTGTTTGCTAAACACTATAAATTTCGACACTGATTGCAGTAATTGCAAAAGACGGATGTGAAGATGCAGATCCAAAATGTCCGGAATGGGCAGCAGAGGGTGAATGCACCTCGAATGCAGTCTGGTGAGAAACCACCATTGTTCTTGCTTTCCATCGTAAGTGATTATGTACTGAATTAAATGGTCACTACTCAGGATGATGGCCAACTGCCGGCGGTCGTGTCACTCGTGCCAAGGAGGCGATAAAGCATGGAAACTGCGTACACACATTCAAGCCAACTATCAGAACACCACTGACAATATAACGAGGATCGTCAGAGTGGAGAGCGTTCGCATCAACAATGTCGAAATCGTAAATAATCTTCAATCGCTAGCTAGTTGAATTTGATATACAATAACACCAAAAAGCAGTTTTTAGGATGAGAAGAAACAGAATGTTAAAGCTTTTGGACGAATGGTTCTTGTGAGTTCGCTTGCTTGTCTGTTCATATCGAGAATCAAAAAAAATTATCTGAAATGCAGAGCTGGAATGACACAAATATTGCTTGGGACAAGAATCAATGGGGTCTCAGTTGGCTAAACTTCTACTGGATACAGATCTGGACACCACAAATTGTACAATTAAATGGGTGAGATTTCCTGTTTTTGTAATTATTGTAATTATGAAAAGCTGGCGAACTGAATGATTTTCGCTTTGATTCATTCTGAAGCATAAATGACAAGAAATTTTCATATACTTACGTAATTAAGAAAGTTTTCAATAAATAGAAAGAGAGCATATGCATTTGTTTGATAGGAGAACACTCTGGATTCAAGTGATTTGACGGCTTTGTAAGTGTTTCGAAGAATAGCTATGTATAGAATTCCTACTATTTTCTGTGACTTGAGTTTCTATTGTTCTAACTTTGTTGACTTGCGTTTTTGCCTTGCAATTTCCCAACTTCTTACTAGCAACTAATTCAACGTCATTTGAAAACTTTACGCTAAGAAATTCTTTGCGGAAACCGTTATTATTCTATAATCTTTCTCCGAAGGTCTCTTTTATATCGTCGACGTTTAATACTGTTTTGGCAGTAAGTTTTAATGCAGAAGAGGCTATCAAACCTTAACGTTGAGAATTATAATTTTTAAGTTCTTTTGCGATACTTTTTTGAGGCAGCTAAAGCATGATTATTATGATTATCAGCGTAATTTGGGGATTTGAGTCTTGGTAGTATACGCACAAAAGTTTTATCTTAGAAGCTCTTTGCAGTGGCTTTTGATTTTGCCTTCAAAGGCATCAAAAATGTTTTTCTTATACAATCAATCTTTTCCTTTTGGAGTCTTTCGTCAATAACCACCAACATTATCCGATGAGACTACTTGGCACCTGAGACACCTGTTTTCACAATAATCAACAATTTTCTATCACATTTAACCATTTGACCGTTTGACACCATCATTTGAATTTGTAAGAAATATGTAAAAGGCCATTTTTGGCTTAAACTACTAAATAAAGAGCTGAGAAGTTTCAGTGGTTCGACGTCAAATCCAGGACAAGTGACAAGCAAGGTGTTGGCTGCTAACTACACGGGTCAAGTCTACCTCTGGGCGGATTTCTCCTTCTCAACTCCCTTCAAATTCCAGTATGAAGATTACCCCAATGACATGCAAAAAGTGAGGACACGTGGATAAAAAACACTTGGAAGCCACAAATGTGCCTTATTAAGGTCTGCTTCAAATTTGACGACAAGCGACTTCTTGCAGTTCATTTCACTGTCTCTGATGGAGTTAGGAACAAAGAACGAGAAGCTACAACCGATCCATTTGTGTCCGGATGGAAGATCGTTGACGTTGATGTGAACGTGAGCGCATTTTTAACCCTAGCACGGGGAAAAAACTTGCAGTAAAAGTCTTGAAACAGAAAGGCCATGTAGAGCACTTGTATTGTATGCATGATTGCTTCAATGGTAATCTAGGGCGAAAATCTGAAAAATAACGGTAAATAACAATCACAAGTAGAAATAAAAACAACCTGCAGATGTGTGAAAACACGTTTAAAATTCAAACTTATAAGATCATATTTAGGAATAAACACTTGAGATAAGGGAGAAATTCTCCTAAATGGATTAAAGGTGTTTGACAAGAAATCTAAAGAGTAATTTCTTGCATTTTCAGTTTGCAGCTATCTCTCAGCAACTCAGCTGAATTTAGATTTGAGACTTTGAGAACCTAACCGACATAAATTATTTTTCACAAAAGATGCAGAAG